ACATAATCTTATTTACCTCTTTTACTGCTTCCTCAAGAAGAGACTGTTGATGCCAGGCGCCTGTGGCTCCTGCCTGTAATCCTAGTTAATCAGGAGACTGAGATCTGAGGATAGCAGTTCAAAGCCAGCCCGGGCAGGAACATCTGTGAGAGTCTTATCTCCAATTAACCACAGAAAACCTGAAGTGGCGCTGTGATAGAGCACTAGCCTTGAGCTGAATTGCTCAGGTACAGCACCCAGGCCCAGAGTTTGAGACACACTCACACACACACACACACACACACACAACAACAACAACAACAAAAAATAGACTATTGTCTTCTGTTACTTGTCCTGCTTAATAGCTGTTGCGTTGGGGTGGTATGGGATGGATCTGTATTCCTTTGCCAGGGTAAATGCTTGACTAAGTTGTTCTTTGAATGTAGTTTGTAATTTTGACTCTTGGATGGTTTTGTGAGAGTTTTTATAATAATTGTTTCATTTCCTTGTTCTTTTTTTTTGGTGGGGGGTCCGGTCGTGGGGCCTGAACTCTGGGCCTGGGCACTGTCCCTCAGCTCTTCAGCTCAAGGCTAGCACTCTACCACTTGAGCCACAGGGCCACTTGCAGCTTTTTTCTTTTCGCTTATGTGGTGCTGAGGAATCGAACCCAGGGCCTCATGCATGCAAGGCAAGCGCTCTACCACTGAGCCACCTTCCCAGCCCCCTTCATTTCCTTGTTCTTAAGACTAAAATTGTGTTGGGTGCCAGTGGCTCACACCTGAAATCCTAGCTACTCAGTCTCCTGGACTTTTCAGCCCTGGCAGAAAAGTCTCTGTGAGACTTTTATCTCCAATTAAACACTCAAAAAAACAGACGTAGAGCTGTAGTTCAAATGGTAGCGCACTAGCCTTCAGCACAAAGAGGATCAGGGACAGTGCCCAGGCCCTGAGTTCAAGCCCTACAACCAACCACCCCTACCCCCACCAAAAAGGACTAAGATTTCTAGTCATCACTTAGTGGCATAATGTCCTGAGTTGTTGGGGCTAAAAGTGCTGTGTGAATGTTATGAAAAAATATTACATCCAGTGTCATGAAATTAGAAACTTCGAGCTACACAGTATGCAACCTTAAATGCATCATCTTATTTAATAACACGGGTTTAAATATGACCTGATGATAAAGAAGTTAAGTATTAATGGAGATTTGCACCTGTCAGTCTGATTCTCACATCTATACTGAAGAGCACAAATGCTGAGGTCCCGACTCTTATCAAGGGAAGGATGTTCTCTTCACTACATTAATTTCATTGTAATGTACTAACATAATTCGGTAGCCATGTTAATCAACTTGGTAACCCTTTACAAATTAAACATATTGAGTAGCAACTTGAGTGACACAATCAGTGGTATACAATTGGAGTTTGGATATGAAATGCCCCCTGAAGGCTCCTGTGTTGAAAGCCTGATCCCCACATGGTGGCGCTATTGAGAGGTGACTGGATGGTGAGTGAGGATGCTAATAGCCCCTAGCTGAGTAAACTAGAAGGGGGACTACATGAAGGAAGTGGATCACTAGGAATGTGCCTTTAACAGGTATATCTTATCTCTGAGTCCCTTCTGTCTTGCACCTTCCTTTCTGGGTGCCATGACAAAAGCAGCTTTGCTTTCCTATCCATGATACTCCTGCTATTGTATTTTGCCTTGTCATAGGCTTTAAAGCAGTGGAGCCAAGTGACCATAGACTGAAACCTTGAGCCAAAATAAATCCCTCCTCTAGCTAGTTTCTCCCAGGTTGTCATTACTATGGAAAACTGACCAACCAATGCAATGTCTTGATCTACTTTTTCTAAAGACATTTAAAAAGAAAGCAGGGGGAGGGGAGACATGCTAGTGGCTCATACCTGTAATTCTAGATATTCGGGAGGCTGCACAAAACTTGGATCACATAGATTTGTCAAAAGCTGAAGAAGCAAGGCAGGCTTTAGAGAAAAGATGCCCACACCTTCATTTAGAACTTTTAGCCTTCAGCACTGTGTAATAATACAGTTCAGTTGTACTGTTTGTTGGTTTTGGTTTGTAGTGCTGGGACTGGGAGCTCATTCAAGCTGAACAAGTGCCCTCCACTTCGACTTCTCGCTTGCTTCTGAGGGGTGACCACAGACAGCACATTCTTTACGCACCATCCAAATCAGGTTACCTCCACCAGAGATTGAAATCTGAGGATCATGGTTCAAAGCCAGCCCAGGCAGGAAAGTCTGTGAGACTCTCAACTCCAATTAACTACCCCAAAACTGGAAGTGGGACTGTGACCCAAAGTTGATAGAGCACTGGCCTTGAGCAAAAAAAGAGCTCAGGCACAGCACCCAGGTGCTGAGTTCAAGCCCCATGACTGACAAAAAAAAAGGAAAAAAGTACCATCGAGATGTCAGCTCCCAGTCTAGGCTGTAGCTTAGAACAGCTATAAGAGTACATAACCACTGCCTTCAGTAAGCTTACTGATTAACAGCAGATATTTTCAAAGTAGGTCAACACAGCCTCTGTCACCTGCATTTTTAGGGATTAGTCAGAAGAACAGGTAACCTGTTTCTGGTCACCAACAAGAAAAGGTGTGGCAGGATAGAAAAGTAGGTACCTGACTTCCATTTCTGGAGAACACCCATCTTAATGAGTGTCAAAACACCTTAGTCATTTCCATTTTGTTTATGCTACTCCCTGTCCAAGTGCCACTTCCTCTATCCCGTGAGTTACTATAATGGTCACTCGACCAAGTTTGTTCCAGAATTCTTGTTTACAGTTTTAACCTCAGCAAGTCATATTACTAGCTTTGCCTGTTCCTTCAAAAATATTCCTCCTGTGCCTCTCTCGTACAGAGAAGAGAATACAACACAATACCATCCTTAGTTAAAGGATCATAAAGACCTATATATATAAAAGACTAGCTAGGTGCTTAGGGCTCATGCCTGGCTACTCCAGAGGCTGAGATCTGAGGATCACAGTCCGAAACAAGCCCAGGCAGGAAAATCCCATGACCAGTTAACTCAGAAAAAGCCCGAAGTGGAGCTGTGGCTTAAGTGGTACAGTACTGGCCTTGAGCACAAAAGCCAAGGGACAACACTCAGTCCCTTAGTGCCAACCTCAGGACTGGCACAAAGAAAGATGACAAATTCCTATGGAAGAATTTGTTCTACCTTACAAAATATTCAGTATCCAGAGGAGAAAACAGGGCACATGTCACACTTAGAAGGACAAAGCATAATGCTGGGTTCTTTGAAAGCCAGGACCATGAATGCCAGGTGATACCATTTTCTCATTCCATGATCCTACCAAGTGGGAGAGGGGTGTCTCCATGGTTCCTTTTCTTCCTTGTCAGAAGAATTATAATCTTTTTGCCATGCTTTTCCTCTGAGGACAGGAAAATGCTTCTTTCTCTTTGGTGTTTGTATCCCATACCATATTTCTTTGTGTTCTCTGTTGCAGTTTCACATCTTTGTGCCATTCTGTTTGTTTAACTGCTTCTGTTATTACTGAGCTTTCTGCCCCTTTGTTCTTGTCATTTTGTTCTGACTCTAAAGCAGAGACTCAATTTTACCATTGAAGCATGTGAAAAACATATCCTTTGATTTCAAAAGCATCCAAAACACTATATATAAAGCACTATGGAGATAAAAGAAAATTCTTACACAGAGCACTAAGCCCCAGCACCATTAGATCTGGATTGTGATCCTAGATCTGCCTCTGACAAATTGTTAGCTTGGGCAAGTGAGCCTTCTTTGCTTTAGTTTCCTCTAGGCACAGTTTGAGGACTTATTTCCATTTGCCTAGGATTTCTACTAATGTTAGCACTGAAAGTGCCCCCACACAATTTCTCAGTCCTGGGTAAGCTACTGAACAGCCTGTCAGGCTGAGAACCTTTCTGGTTCTGATACTTTGGGGTAAGCCTCAGGTGCTTCTCCAGACATATTGTGTATGCCACTGGAGAGTCAGGACTGAGTCACAGGGAGGGAGAGCCCATGGCCATTTGCCAAGAACTGGGAAGCCATCCTGCCTCCTGACCTCTGACTCACATGGGGTGTTACAGGACCTCATTCCTAACATCTCCTGGGAAGAAATCAGCTGAAACTGAACTCAGACTGGAGACATTCTTGGGTATCCCAGTGGAAAAGAAATTCAAAAACAGTTGACTAAAGAGAGGAATTTGTAGCAAATGTTGAGGCTGCCAGCATTCTTGCAAGTGAGCCAATGACCTTTCAAGATACAGCTACAACTGACTGGCTTCTTGGCAGTCATCCCAATGAAGAGTTCCTTTCCCAGCTCAGACTGTATTCAAAACTGGCTCGTCAGAAAGGCTTTCAGCATCCTCTCATATAGATTTATTCCAGCATGAGATCACACAAAGTTAGCTTCCTAATAAAGGCCTCTTTAAAAAGTCAGCAGAGCAAGTGTCTTCCTCAGCATGTTGAAAATTGAATGTTCTATTGTCATGACATTCAAGAGAAGTATCCTTGAACCTTTGAATCAAAGGGTAAGAGAGCTGAATTCAAGATCTTAAGAGCTAGAAACTACCAAGGCAGCCAGATGGCTCTCTGGTGACTGAAAGAGAAGTAGCTTGCTGCAGACTTCTATTTAATTGAGAAGCAAACTTTAAAATCACCTTGTTCATTTTCTGAGTGCCTGCTTTCATTTTGGCTTGATGTTTAAGTCAACTCTATTTCAATCTCAGTTAAGAGAATAAATTTGGCCCAATTTCTTTCTTCCTTCTTTTTTTTTTTTTAATTTGGCTTTCAGCAGCTGGTTTCAAAGCACAGCCCCAAATAATGATTAAGAAGTGATTGAATGCTCATGGAGAAAGTCAAAAAAGCTGGATTAACATGAGCTATTTAAGGAACCAAGTAACAAATTAAAGAACTGCTTTCCAACTCAGCAAATAAGAAGGCTTTTCTCTCACTTAACCAATAAAAAATACAGTAAAATTCAAGTCAAACTGGTTCAAATACACAGTAAAATCAAGTTAAACTGGTTTAGGAAGCATATCAAATAGTAATGTTTCCCCCAACCATATTAACTCTTCTCTGTTTCCTTCAGCTTAACTTTGGTAAAATCTAAGGCAAATAACAAAGGAAAATTTTAGCCACCGTTCATGAGTTAATTATCTAGAGACTAATTATGACTCAAGTGAAAATTCCTGTTTACACATAACCAGGATCTAGTCTCATAAATATCTTAGGAGATATTTCTGGTTATACAGTGTCAACAAAGGAGATGGGCTAAATAAGAAAAGTTCCAGGCATGTGACTTTAAATTCTTTCAGTTGATGAATATTCCTTGTTACATAATGGACTGAAGAACTTAAAAGGTATGTGTTCATTTGATTTGTACACCCAAGCAGGCATCCAGGGTTCTCATAATTGACAAGATTGGGCCATCTACCCTATCCCCTGCCCTTTAAATTTCTTAAGTCATCTGTATAAGTAGGGTAAGGGTAGAGAGAGAGCTTTTACCTTCTCTAAATGCTACCTGAGATGGAGTTTCTCACAAGAATCAGACAATATCAGGGCTGGGAAGGTGGCTCAGTGGTAGAGCGCTTGCCTTGCATGCATGAGGCCCTGGGTTCAATTCCTCAGCACCACATAAGCAAAAAGAAAAAAGTTGGAAGTAGCGCTGTAACTCAAGTGGTAGAGCGCTAGCCTTGAGCTGAAGAGCTGAGGGACAGTGCCCAGGCCCAGAGTTCAAGCTCCACAACCGGACCCCTCCCCCCAAAAAAAGAATCAGACAATATCAAAGAAGTCCATCAGAACCTGATGCAAGAGTGGGAATGTGGCTTGGTGGTAGAGTGCTTGCCCAGCATGCCTGAAGCCCTGGGTTCAATTCCTCAGTACCACATAAACAGAAAAAACCAGAAGTGGTGCTGTGGCTCAAATCTAGCCTTGAGCAATAAGAAGCTTAGGGACAGTGCCCAGGCCCTGAGTTCAGTCCCCCAGACTGGCAAAAAAAAAAGGACCTGATGCAGCCCTGTGTATCAGAATCACAAACCCAGGGCTGGAGTAAGACACTTCAAGGCTAACCTCCAGGACTGTCATCTAAGCACCCAGGGAGTAACAGCCATGTCTAGCTCTGGAGATGCCCAAATCCCTGCCCATATTTTTTCCTGCAACCTGGAAAGTTTATAGGTTTCAACTTCATGAGAAAGGCTTCTGTGTGTCACGGACTATCTTGTGTTTGGTTGGTTGGTTTTGGTGTTTGGTTGGTTGGTTTTGGTGGTGGTTGTTTTTTTTTCCCCAGAGGTCAACTGGGGCCCATGGGCTGAGACTGCTGTATCCAGGCACTGAGCTTTGTTTTTTATTCCTTTTATTAAAAATTGTTGTTGTACAGATGCTGGAGGGGATGTGGACAGAAGGGAACCTTACTTCATTGTTGGTGGGAGTGTAAACTTGTTCAACCACTTTGGAAAGTAGTATGGAGGTTCCTCAAAAGACTCCACCTAGAACTCCCCTATGACCCAGCAATCCCCATTTTGGGCATTTACCCAAATGATCACAAACAAGACCACACTAAAGCTACCAGCACAACTATGTTTATTGCAGCATTATTTACCATAGCTAAGATATGGAACCAACCCAGATGCCCCTCAGTAGATGAATGGATCAAAAAAATGTGGTATATATACACACAATGGAATTCTATGCCTCCATCAGAAAGAATGACATTGCCCCATTTGTTAGGAAATGGAAAGACTTGGAAAAAGTTATATTAAGTGAAGCAAGCCAAGCCCAAAGAAACATAGGTCCCATGGTTTCCCTTATTTGCAATATTTAGTATATGTATGAGTCAAGCAGAAAAGGTCAGATAAGGTGATGTTAGGAAAATGAACCCTAAGATATGTATTTTAAATGTTTTTTTCTTTCATGCATTTGTTTCTAACGCAATTATAAGATTATTTCTTTGTTGCTTTGTATGTCCCTCCCCCACTTTGTATGTTCCCCCGCCCTGCTTTTACTGTATTTGATGTCGGTATAATTTGTGGAGAGGAAGGGGAAAAACAAGTCGTTTAAATAAGGATACAGGTGGACCCGTTGCAACAATGAGAAGTACAAGTTGTCATGTCGAAAACGTACTTTACAACTTTGGGGTGGGGGATTGGCGGGCAGGAAGGAGGATGGGAAGGGATGGGAAGGGGAAACAAAGGAGGAGGCTACAATGCTTGATAAGAAATGTACTCACTATCTTGCCCATGTAATTGTAACCCCTCTGTACAGTATTTTCACAATAAAAAAAAATTGTTGTTGTAAAGGTGATGTACAGAGGGGTTACCGATACATGGGTCCAGTAAAGAGTACATTTCTTTTTGGACCTGTCACCCCTTCCCTCAATCTCTCCCATTTTCCCCCTCCCATTCCTACCCATAAATTCTTTAGTTCATGATCATCATAGTATCTAGTGAGTACCACCGCTGCATTTGCTCCCCCATTGTCCCTCTATTTCTGCGCCTTCCTTTACCCTCCCAATGACAGATAAATGAACAAACAAGACAAAGGAAATTTAAAAACAAAACAGCAACAAAGAAAAACCTTTAGTGTCCATTTCCTGGAGTTCATTTTGATAAATGTTAGTTTATATGTTCAGATGCACATGGAAATTGTGCCTTTGTGTTCCTCTCTTAAGAATGTCTTGTTTTGAGGAAGCCCCGTGGCAGCAGCGGATGGCAGCCAGGGCGGCTCCGCGAGACCTGTGCCTGGCGCCCAGGCTCGGGTGCATGGCTCATCCATCCCGGGGACTGGAGGACCAGCTAGCCGAGGGCGGCGCGGGCCAGGCTGGGCCTGGTAACTTACAAGATTTAAATTAAATTGATTGCTGGTCGTTCTGAACAAATACAACTTTTATCCCAGGTGTGTGCCATTTTGAAGACAGTTTTTTTTTTTTAGTCCTTGAGGATAAAAGGAAACTCTTTGGAAAAATCTGTTTTACATAGCAAAAATTTGATTCCTCATATGGCATAAAAAAGGACTAAGCAACAAGACATTGGTAGTAACATTTACCATCCAAGTCAAATGGACCCTATCACTGAAAAATCAAGATGGCAGTCCACTATGGGAAACTGAGGACAATGGATTTAATGCAAGAGTACTGTGATATGTACAACCAAGCAGTACTTAACAGGGAATTCATGAAACTGAAGATAGAGGTTTCTAACCCAACTCATATCGACAGTGGGTATGACTTTCTAGAGACTTTTATGTCATTACAATTAATATACTTTTGACACTTGGAGAAGAAAGATGACTTTTTTTTTTTTCAGTCAAGGGGCCTGAATGAAGTCGGCCTGTGTACTGTCCCTCAGCTCTTCAGCTCAAGGCTAGCATTCTACCACTTGAGCCACAGTGCCACTTCTGGCTTTTTCTGCTTATGTGGTGCTCAAGAATCGAACTCATACATGCAAGACACACACTTTACCACTGAGCCACCTTCCCAGCCAGAAAGATGACATCCTAACCCAGATGCTAGTATTCCTGAAACTTTTTTGCAATTTGATTTAAATATGACCTCATGGAATGTTAACATCAATAAAATTTCTAACACTTGAAAAAAAATGTCCTCCTTTGATCTCATTGTATGTGAATGCCTAGAGTCCTATATATTTTATCATGTCCCAGTGTATTTTAGATCTGGCTTCCGCATACGAGAGAAAACATGCAGTTTGTCTCTCTAAGCTCGGCTTACCTTACTTAACATGATTTGTTCTAGATCCATCCATTTCTCTGCAAATGACATAATATTATTCTTTTTAATGGCTGTGTAAAATTACACTGTGTATAGGTACCACAGTTTGGGGATTCACTCATCTATTCTCTTGTATTTTTTTGTAATGGTAAAGTTGTTTTTGTTAGACTGATATGTGACACTTGATACTCAATAGTTCTGAAAGCCACTACCCTAGTTCTTTTTGTTTTTGTTTTTTCTTTTTCTTTTTCTTTTTTGCCTACCCTGGGGCTTGAACTCTGGGCCTCAGTATTGTCCCTGAGCTCTTCAGCTCAAGGCTAGCACTCTACCGCTTGAGCCACAGCACCATTTTGTTTTCTGGTGGTTAATTGGAGATAAAGAGTCTCACGGACTTTCCTGCCTGGGTTGGTTTTGAACCTTGATCCTCAGCTCTCAGCTGCCTGAGTAGCTAGGATTACAGGTGTGAGCCACCAGCAGCTAGTTCCACTGCCCTAGTTCTGTGAAAGCATTTGTATGTTTTCTTCAGTCATTTTCTAAGGTCATTTGCACTCCCTACACTGTACAAATCTAATGCAAATCTAAGGCATTATTTTGTAAAGAGGATAAAAAGACTAGACTCATGGCTACACTGACTGGAGATAAGTAATTAAGAAAATGACAGTTCAAAGCCAGCCTAGGCAAGAACGTCTTATCTCTTATCTCCAATTAACCACCAAAAAGCTGCAAGTGGAGCTGTGGCTTAAGTGTTAGAGCACTAGTCTTGAGCCAAAAAAACTGAGTTCCAGCCCTAGGACCAGCACACACTATATTTATCTATATGTGTGTATCTATGGATACATATGTGTATATATGTGTGTATATACATACATATATATGTGTATATACATATATGTGTATATATACATGCACACATACATATCCCGTGTGCCTGGTGGTAAAACAGTTCCTTGGCATGCATGAGGCCCTGGGTTCATGAGGCCAGATTGAGGGAGAAGGAGAGAATACCATCAAAAGCACAAATTCATTGCTCCCAGAAGGGTTGCGTGGGTAAAGGGTGGGAAGCTCAGGAGGCCACTAGGTTTGTCTATACCTGAGATCCTACAGGCAGAGGGACGAGTCACACCACAGGATCAAGCAGAGGGTGGGGAACACAACCTGGCTTTTTTAGGCCCAGCTTTTCTCCTTTCTCTCTGTCTCTGTCTCTGTCTCTCTCTCTCTCCCCCTCTCTGTCTCTCTGTGTCTCTGTCTCTCTGTCTCTCTCTCTCTCCATTCTCCCCACCCCGCCCACCCTGCTAATTAGAGATGTCTTGTGGTCTTTCCTTCCCAGACTGGCTTCAAACCTTGATCCTCAGATCTCAGTTTCCTAAATAGC